TCTGCGCCTGCCAATAACCTGATGAAAGGTCCATAGTGCTGAAAACTGAAGAGCCCCTAAGGCAGGGCTGTTCAACTAAATTGCTCCGGGGGCCACAGTTACTGCTGGTCAACAGCTGAGGGGCCGAACATCCAGCAATTAAAGTTATTATGTAAATAAACCAAGTATTACAAAGATCTGTTACCTTTGAATTAGTTTATTTTGCTGCATTTAATCATGAATACAACATACAAAACCCTATAAGAGTAGTGATAATTACACATTATCAAAAATAAATAGAACACATTATGCCTCCTATTATTAGACACAAATAATATTTTGACATCTCTGACTTGCCAAAATTTTAAACCGATTTTATTTTCACTTTTGTTTTGGACTAATTATTTATATCTGCTCTACCTTGACACTGTCCAGTAATCATAAGATATGATTACTGGCACTATGATTACTAGTTTCGGCTGTTTTACTCTATCGGCCCAGACTTCAAGACTCCAGCAATGCATGACCTCTTTAATTCTGATAAGGTAGCTTCTGGGCTGAGAGCCCTGTTATTGGTTAGGTGGTTACAGTTGGCGATTTGTGATTGGTTGTAAGCATGTCACATGATGTTATATCATTGGCTGTTCTCTGACGAGAGCCAGCCACAACTCGACAGACTTCCTGATTGACCGTCTGCTGTGTTGTTGCTCAGAATTAAATCATTTGACGACCATACACACAGACTTTCTGTGCATTTATTCCAACATGTTTCTGCATTCTTGGTAAATCTTGCTACCACAGTTTTCATCATTTTATCTTCAACTGCTTGTAGTTTTAACTTTCTTCTTTTCTTTACCAGTTTCTAGCCAAGATTCTGGCATTTCTGTACATACCATACATGTCTATGTTTAACTAAATAATTTAGAGTAATTAAAGTAGAAAACCAGGGGTTTGGGCTTAAGAGATGAATAAACCAATTGGCGGGCCGAACTTTGGTCACTCGCGGGCCGGATGTGGCCCACGGGCCACCAGTTGAATAGCCCTTCCCTAAGGTTATCCTGTGTGTCATCATTACATGGTAAAGGACGAGCATCTTTAGTGGTGACTGCATTTAGACCCCGACAGTCTACTACACAAAACCTCCATGAACCGTCCTTCTTTTTCACTATGACCACAAGGGCAGCCCATGGGCTATGACTGACTTCTATGAGTCCTTTGTCCAACATCTTTTCCACCTGCAATTCAATGATCTCCTGCATTTGTGGTGAGGTATGGTAAGCTCGTTTACATACAGGAGTTGCAGTGTTGGTGTTCATTTTGTGCTTGGCAATGTCTGTTCATTTAAAATCGTTGGGGCTTTTACTAAAAAAGTCCATGTACTGTAGTAAAAGTTCATTAAGTTTAGTCTTTTCCAAGGGAGATAAGTGTTCCCCAGAGACTTCAAATGGCATCTGTAGATGTTGATCAACTTGACTGGAGTTAGTGACTATTTGAGTCTGGTCCATGTCAAACCAACATATAGGGGTTGGCTGACACAGAGTACAGTCCGGAACAATGTCCCCTTTAAAAACAGGGAAAAACTGGCCTATTTGCATCCCAGGTTGTAAAGTAACAGGCCCATTGGTTGGGTTCATAAGCCAAACAACAGCAAGACCATTTCTAGCTGTGGTCAAAGTATGTACCACAAAAATGCCATCCAGGTTCAACTGATTGTGAGGATTTGGCAAGAACAGACCCAGGGTGCAGGCAGGCTCCAAAAGTAGAACAAAAATTTATTTTAAATAACAAAAATGCTGTAAAGACAGCTGAACTTACAGGAGGCACGAGGKTCACACAGGCAGGGGGAACAACGCACAGAGAACCATGACAGACAAACAATGATCCGACACAAGACTGAGACAGGACAGGGCTTAAATACYCAGAAAACTAATTAGGGCAACAAGACACACCTGGAGCAGACACAAAAGGACACAGGTGAGAGAGGGTGGGGCTGCAGGGCAGAGAAACACAGGGGAACACTGAAAACACTAGAAAACTAAGGAAAATAAACACAGACCATGACACTGATAAGGCTCAATGCAACCATCGTAGTCAGCAGGGTTGGTCACAGTCACAGATGGAGGAGTTAATGACACTTTGCAGTTTATCTCACAATGTGGTGGCACCACTGTATATTCTGTTATACATTACAGAACATTCTGTTCTGTTGTACAGTTCAAGGGGGCCAACTGAGTTTTTCTGAGGAGGGGAATATCCTCCCAATGCCCCGACCAAAGTCCAGGACCACATTGTGAAGTTGTAAAAAGTTTATATCAAGCAGAGTATCTGCACTGACATTTCTCCTTACCTGTATATCATGGTGTAATGTATACGAACCCATCGTTACAGTCACTTCAATAGTGCCTAAAGTGTCCAAACTGTGCCCCATCACTGCTTTTGATAAAACAAAGTTTTTTTCAGAGTTTTTTTAGCTAGTGCAGGGATCGACATTCTGGTTGTTTCACTTATAAATGAAACGTGAGCCTGAATCCAACATAATATGTGTTTCAGACCCCTCTAAGATCACATTAACATAGGAGGTAAAAGGTGTTTCACTTACTGCTGAAATAATGGCGTCAGAATCTGGTGGTTCTGGTGTGCACATGGGGGACCACCAGAGGGCAGTGACTGTACACCATTGCCAACATGAGTAATTCCACAGTCATTTAGGGCTGTACCTGAGCAAGCTGGTGAGTGCCCCTCCTCAACAGCTAGTGGTTGTTTCCCTGATAGTACGATCCATCAGTTGAGTAGCCCGGATGTTCACGCTCTGAGTGTTGATCAGCTGGCTGGCGATAAAACACAGGTGAGGGCACAGTGAGTTTATGGTCCTGAAACGAGACATGTTTTGGTTGCGGGCTCTGGCTCCTCCGTCTCCATTCATACGGTTGTCTTCCAGGTGACTGGTGACGTCCTCTGTTGTCCTCATTGCAATAGTCACTGGACCATACCTCTCATCGCTGGTCCTGAAGGATGGGGAACTGGATCTATAATCCCTGTTGTATAGTCTGTCAATCCGAGCAAAATTTTGTCTGCGTCCAGAATGGTGCATATACTCAGGGGAGGGCTGGCGAAACTGTCTTGTTGGTGAAAGTGAACCTCTGTCATCCAACTTCAGCTTCAGTGTCCCTAGTTCTTTACTCAGATATTTTACAGTGCTAGTGAGGTCTTGTATGGCAGTTTTCAGATATGATTGTTCATTAGAAACAGTATTCACAGAAGGGAATCTTGTACTGTAGCACCAAGCAGTAATGGTGACATTAAACGAGCAGCTTGACGAGCCCACTCTGCTCGTGCAGCAACCTTAAAAGCCTCCTGAAATGTCTTCACTCCTCTCTTGTGACTCTTGATCTGTAGTTCCTGATCCAAACCCCGCAATAAAACGGGACATTTTCATGTACTCATGTGCATTTTGCTCAAAGTCAGTAAATGCTTCTTTTACTAGACAACAAGCAGCATAAACTTCCATCTCTTTATTAGGCAGCCGATGACGGGCGTTGGGAAAAGTTTGAAATGAAGCAATAACATCCTTCTGGCCAAACACATCTTGGAGATGCTTTTTCATAGCTTCAAATGAACTCTGTGTTTCCTTGGGCAAATTGTCTCACATTAAGAAAAGCTCAGGCGGCAACAGTGTGGGTAATTCCAGAGCAAGGTTTGTGTCAGATCCACAGCATTGTCTTTATAACGAGCTTGCTGAATAACCTCTTACCGTCGAGCCCATAGGGTGAACGACTCTCGTCCGTTGTTGCAGAAAGGCGGGGGCAGTGGGATACCCCTGTTCGGAGCAACCGGGATGCGTTGGTTGTCCCCAACCCTGCGCTGCAGCTCCTGGTTGGATGTGGTCAGTCTGTCGTCCTGTGACATAGGGCCTTTCCCAATCAGTGGCTACACCCTCACCCCACTCCCTACTCACTCAGTTTGCGTGTGCCCGCGGAGGGTTGGCCAAATTGTTAAAAAATAAATTCATATCTGAAAACTCTCTAAAATGTGGGCCTAATTAAATATTTGTTGACAAAAAGCTTCTTCTAAACAATCTTACTCGGTCCGTTCTTCAGCATTCAGCCGCTGCCAGAACTTGGACTGTTACCATAGTGATGACAGCTTCCTGTTCTGGTCGTGTGAGGAGAGCCCGTCTCAAAAGAGGAGGGTGTATATATATGGCGTCAATTCAATGTCAGAACTGTCGCGAGAAAAAAACGACATTTCGTGCGCGCAAATACATTTCGCGCGAGCAAATTCATATCCGCGCGCGAGCAAATTCATATCCGCGTGAGAGGGGATTGAGCTCCGCGAGCGGACATTTGCTCGCACGCGCGCATTGTCTCCTTTCGTGCACAGAATCTCTCGGCCCGCGCGCGCCCGCACACACTATTACCCTTGCGCGAGTCTTTTTTTTTCTTTCCCCCCTCGCGCGAGCTTCCTCTGCTGCTCGCTCGCCAGTTACTTTTGGCAGAAGGTGGGCGGATCCAGTTGGGGTTTCTGTTAATACACATGATTGGTTAAGGTCCCTGTCTTCTGTGATTGGCCGGACAGCATTTTTTGTAAAGAAACTTTATTGAATAAACTCCAACTTGGCAAGTATACAATAGCCTAACATTCTGTAGTACCTTTAATGCCACACGATGGCGCCACTTATGTCAAGTCGGCAGTACAGAGCTGCTCTGCTGAACCTCAGTAACGGTTGAACATATAAGGATTATAAATGCTTACTTTTTCTGTTAAGATTTGAATACTCTGCTTCTATATGTAATAAATGAATTGAAAATTAAACCCGTCATTTTATTGTAAAATGTTGCGTTTTAAACTTACCAATTTGTTCTAAATTAAAGATTTTTGCTTTCATTTTTCCCTTTTATGTAATTTCATCAATTTACTCATGTGTCTTAATCATACATACACAATTTATTTAAAAWGTTTGAGAAAGTGTCCCCTTTTCTGAAAACTTCCCGTACTTAAAAAAAACATGTAGGGAAACGTAGTCGATACATCATTTTTATTAAAAAACAAAAACAAACAAAAAAAAACTAAAAACAAGACACCAACTCAATAACGTTTCCAACACAGCACCCCAGCTCATATCCAGAGTTTGTCAACATCATCACACTGGCTATCCAAAACAGTTGTGAATTTGGTCGTGCATAGGTGTGCTTTCTTCTGCCAGCTTTTATTGCAGTTTTTTTTTCCTTTTTTTTCCAGGAAGTACTTTTGCCTTTTGAGCAAGTTCAGTTGATGTAATGTCATTGTTTCATATTTGAAGACTATTAATGTCATTGTTTCATATTTGAAGACTACTAATGTCATTGTTTCATATTTGAAGACTATCATAGAATGTGTTTAATGTGTTTGTATTATTGAATGAGTGTTTTGCATTCCAGATATGACTACTAAAGACAAGTTAGAGCATGCACTGACAACTGGGAAGCATACTGTGTGTGGACCATAGCGCAGTCCACAGTCATGGTCAAATTCTGTATGGATCTTGAATCTTTCACGCTCTGTTGAGGTGATGGGAACATGTGCCTGTCCAGTAAGCCACTGCAGGAAGCAACCAACAGWGACCGTGTCTTTCTTTCTCTTTTGTCCATCTTTCTCCATCTCCTCCCCATGTCCATCTTCAAGATCACTCTCATTTTCCTTCATGGTCTTTGTGGTGTCCCCGGAGCCATTCTCCTCCTCTGAAAAGAATAGGCAATTAAACAACATTTTTTTTAGCTTCACACAAGCAAATGTAAGGGATTTTTTTTTTTTTACGTTTCCTGATATTATCTGAAAGAYAGCAAAATTAAGCTCAAGTGTTTAATTTCACTCCCATTAGATAATTTAGGGACCTGACAGTAAAAGTTTTATCACTATAATGAGTTATAAAATTGTCAATGAGGGGAGATTACAGGCAGATTGCATCTGTATCTTAACAAGACTGAAGAGTTTAAGTAACAAGCAAAATGTAACATTTTACATTATGTACACGTCATGTCTAGGGATGCAAACAATTAATCGATTTATAATTAATTGTCAAATAATGGCTAAATCAATTAACTAATAATGCCAGCTGGCACATTTAAATCACTAACCAGAAAGATATACCTTTTTGTAAAACCATTTCCATTAAGCCTCTTTCACAAGACTGTTCTTTAAAAATGTCCACACAGACCAGTCTGGCTTTAAGCTCCCTCAGGCCATTCATAAATCATAAACCTTTTAATTGTAAAGTTGAAGACACTTCGCTTCCCATCCAGGATGGTTTTATTTTAGATTGTGATGTTCACCCTGGTCCAACATTTATTTTTTGCTAATATGTCAATCTAATGTAACATTACAGTACTGTTACATGCTTACTGTGTCTGAGCAAAGAATGGCATTAGTTAGTGCTCTGAAATCTCCTCTCCTTACATTTGCTTTATTTTCATTATAGTTTTTACTCTTAGGACACAGACTAATTACTGGTGAGTTTCAAGTGTACTTAAAATCAGGTTCACCTATTTTTAAACATAAGCAGGTCCATTTTTATGAGCTCCACATGTAATATGATTTGCAAAATTTTCAGTGAATCACATCAGTGGTGTTTTTATGATTACTGTGCAGCCATTTTAAAAAACGGCATATTTATAGAATGACACAGCTAAATAATCTTACACCACACTGAGAGCACACTTACGGTTTTGAGCAGATGGGTCACTCTCAGTCTTCTTATTAGTGCAACTACCTGCATGGCAGCATTTTGCATCTGTGTCTGTACAAATATAAACAAAACAGAGTAGTCAGATAGCGTTAGCTTAGGTGGGCCATCAAATTACCAAGTGCTTCTGCAGACAGATAATGGAGGCAATGTTTGGGAAGTTACTTAGTAAATGTTGAGCTAAAGAAAATGATAAGTTGTGTTACACACAGACAATTAAGCATATCAAGATAGACATGACTCACCTCTTGATGGTCTGCCATGCCTTCATAGCTTTGACCATGTTTAGACCACGCTCCAGTCCGCAGACGCTTCTTCTTCCGCCTTTCTTCTGAAGCRGGCCAATCACAGAAGACAGGGACCTTAACCAATCGTGTATTAACAGAAACCCCAACTGGATCCGCCCACCTTCTGCCAAAAGTAACTGGCGAGCGAGCAGTAGAGGAAGCTCGCGCGAGGGGGGAAAGAAAAAAAAGACTCGCGCAAGGGTAATTGTGTGTGCGCGCGCGTGGGCCGAGAGATTCTGTGCACGAAAGGAGACAATGCGCGCGTGCGAGCAAATGTCCGCTCGCGGAGCTCAATCCCCTCTCGTGCGGTTATGAATTTGCTCGCGCGCGGATATGAATTTGCTTGCGCGAAATGTATTTGCGCGCGCGAAATGTCGTTTTTTCTCGCGACAGTTCTGACATTGAATTGATGCCATATATACAGCGCCATCAAGGGGACTCAGTTTAGCTGCGAGGGTGCTTCACAGCGAGTGTAGTGTAGGGGTGGACGATACTGGGAATTTTGGTATCGAACCGATACCAAATAATTACTGTGCAAGAATCGCTTATTTCGATACCGATTCTGATACTGGGGGGCGGGGCTGTTGGCCGCAAAGATGACAGCACCTGCTGCAAAGCATGCAGGAGGAAGGGAGAATTCAAGAAGTGCAGAACTTGTGATTAGTCTCATTACTAGCAGCAGAACAGGTTTGAAGATGGTCATTTGATGTTATTGTTTTTTTAACGTCCAACAGGCTCTTACATGTTAAATAAATTTGAATCTGAGGTTTTGAAAAAATTCATTAAACTTGAAAAAATCTGTGAGATTTCTCTATACATCCATATACCTGCACAATCAATCAATCAATCAATCAATCAATCAATCAATCAATCAATCAATCAATCAATCAATCAATCAATCAATCAATCAATCAATCAATAACCTTTATTTAACCAGGTGGAAAACCCATTGAGATCAGGATCTCTTTTACGAGGGTGACCTGGTCAAGAGGTGATGGAAAAATGATGGAAAGTCTGTGTAAATTATGGACAATCCATACAACTTGACATGTATGAATTTTCCTTGAAGAATTATGCTGTAAGACCATGGATTATCTAAAAAAAAAAGTTGAATGTATATCACAAGAGGGTTTTTTTTTTATTTAGTTTTCATCCTCTCTCCTCTACGGAGCCTGGGAGGGGACACGGGAGATTATTTTTCTTTTGCGTTCCCACGCAATAGTATTGCGTTCCCTCACAAAAGTAGTTTCTCACTGTTGTGCCTGCCGGGACAAACTCATTTGTTTACCATTAGCGAGTTAGCCTACTGCTTTAATTCAGCTTCAGAATGAATATATCACACAACTGCGCATGGAAGTATGTCATATGCCAATATTTTAACACAGTGCAGCCACGCAACATCAATGTCAATGTCACGAACTTGTGGCGACACATCCTGTTTTGGCAACCAGATATTTCAAAATAAAAGTCTGATTTAATTCAGTTCATGTTCAAAACAAACTTTTGCGTGAGAACGCAAAACAATATTGCGAGGGAATGCAAAAGTATTGTGAGGAAACACAAAGGTATTGCGAGGGAATGCAAAAATATTGCGAGGGAATGCAAAGGTATTGCGTGGGAACGCAAAAGTATCGCGTGAGAAAGCAAAAGGGAAAAAAATCCCCATGTCCCCTCGCGGGCTCCGTACTTCTCTGCCCTGATTCTCACCTATTGTTGAAAGAATCACTCTTGCAATAACACTATTGTAAGAGGGAGACACATTGACATGGAGGAGACCAGATGGCTTCTCTTCACAAATATAGCTTTCTTTATTTCTCTCTCACTACTGCTGCTCTGACTCTGAAGCCTCTCTCCCACCTTACAGCAGTGGGAGGGAGGGGTATGGGATAAGCTATATGGGTAAGCTATATATCTGAGTAGATGTGCAGACACGACAGCCAAACCCATCTGTTCTCTGATTGGATGTTAAATCTATGATTGACAAGACATTGACCAATCAGCTGGAGGCAGAAAAACGTGGTCAGAATTCGTACTTGTAAAGTGAAACTCACATGCAAGTTTTGAACTTGAGCAGAGAGATTTACACGTAGATTTTTGCTTTGTACCTGTAAACAGACCTTAACAAAAAAAGACTGTAACTTGTGTAAATATTTTTTACAGATACAAATATTATTTTTACAGATACAGATTTAATTTTTACAAATGCAAATCTTATTTTTACAGATATAAATTTTATTTTTACAGACACAACTTTATTTTACACACACATTCCTATTTACACATCCAAAAGTTACAAATCTTAATCTACAGGTACAAAGTCTGATTTACGAGTACAAAATACATAAGACTAATATTTGTTTCCATAGCATGGTGGGGCACTGTGCGTGCGTGCATGCGTGCGTGCGTGTGTGTGTGTGTGTATGTGTGTGTGTGTGTAGAAACGGTATAAACCTAAACTGAATGAAGACAGCTACCGTCGATGTAGCATTGAAGTAATGGCTAGCTCGCGCCAATTTAAAAGTCCGCCAAACTGTGAGAAGAAGAGCCCCAAACTCGACACACCGCTGCCACCAGTGTCAGACTCGTGGGTTTGCGATACTGTGATTCTCCCTTGTAGACAAAATAAAATAAATCCACAGACACGATTGAGCTCTTATTCAACTGACGAACATTTACTTCAACGCTCCAAAGCAGCCATTGCAGAACTCCCTGTTTTAACATTCACTTCCTTCCCCCACCGGAAACCCTCTTTGATTATTAGTTCATCGTGGAGGAAATTCAACTGTCATCCAAGCCATTCATCAAAAGCTGAATAAGAAATCCTGAATAGAAAGAACAATGGTGTCGAGATCAAACTGCTGGTATAAAGATTATGCATGGATTGTTATAAAAACTTTCAAATTAAGTCAAATAAACTTTTAGTTGTGAAAATGACTGGTTTCCCACATTTTTATGCCTTACTAAAGAAAATGATTCTCATGAAATGGATGGTCTATAAAAAAATTGACAGCTATAATGTTCAGGTTTTATCAGTGATTTGTGATTTGTTTCCCAGCCAATTCATCTCAACTTTGGCATGCTTCTCCTCCTGCATACTTTGTCCTAGAGCTGCCATTGTAATTTATATCTGTAAAGCACCTGTGCCAAATGATGGCTATGCCTTTTGGTGCCTGTAAAACTTATAGTTTATGAAATATTAATGTTTAATGAATTATAATGGCAGTCAATGGAGCCTTTTATTGGTCCAATACTGCCCCTGCTGTACTCAACTTGGTACTGCACTATAGTTTAATATTTCAACTCAGTAGTTCAGTGTTTACAGTACTAATATGATTGTATTTTGATGTTTTACTATAATATTGTCAATACTGCTCTATTTTTGTAATATTATGCTCTTTGGTGTGCATAATTGTATTGGCAAGGTGAACTCTTTCTGCATACATACAATCCAAGCCCTGGGATTGTCCTCTACCATAGCTCCTATAGTCTCATGGTGAACATAGTGAGATTTCATTCAGGAGATCAGGGTTCAATCCCAGCTATGAACAAACTGCTTAAGTAAAACTACATAATTTCAGTTTGTTATATTGTCACACAATTACCCTAATTACAAACACCTGCTGACTTGGCAGGTGTTTGACTGATAATAATTAGAAAACACATTAGAACTTGGTCACACTTCATTCTGCAAGTCCAATGTTGCAGGCAATGCACATTTGTTTTTTACATCGTAAAAACCCATGTCTAGTTGTACATGTTTCCATATCAGGTTTATAAATCATAGCAGCTTATTAAATATTGTAAACATTATTCAGTTCACAAGTGTGTATTTTTATAACATAAAAATTGAAATTCACAAGTCTTTCATAAACAAAAAGCTATCAAACAATAAGATGAGCCGAATCAATGAATTTTAATATGAATATACAAGTTGTCTGTAATGATGCAGTTAGTTGTGTACTGAGGTAAGTCAATGTGATTTCATGTTGCAGAGAATAAATTGAAGCTGATGGATTACAATTTTAACATTTATCTTAAGTGTACTTAACCATTATATGTCCAACAGTTACTTTGACCAAAATGAATTTTATTGTTACTGACCATTTAAAAGTATTAATTTGGTTATCTTTATGTGGAGCCTCAATATAACTTAAATGATAAATCTGACGTCATTTATACTAGTCAGACTGTAATCAGAGATATGTTAATCAGCTAATATATCTGGTCATAAAACACCATGTCTGGAATGTAAGTGTGGTGAAGTTATTTTATGTTACAACGATCTGCCATACTTGCTCAACTGCGGACTTCCGGGATTTTTTGCGCTGCTCCGAAGCCTCGACACGAGTAGTTTTTCATGTCCGAAAAACCTCGAAGACCGGACACCAGCCTTGGCGCTCCCAACACAGGGGGGTCAGATTTTCACAGGGGAACTGAATGTCGTACAACACCGGCGGTCCTGCTCACAAACATGGTGGTGCTAACAGGTGTCAGCTTTGGTTGCTCTGACTGAAAGTTGTAGGAAGTTTCTTTAGGACATTAATTCTTCTGTTTGCTGAGCTCAGCCTCCTCGGAACCATTTGGGTTGTGTTGTGGACAAAAGAAGTGAAATGTCAACAGGTACGTCTTGTTTCTCAAGTTTTGTCTGAACCAGATGTGGATCAACACCAGAGCTATTAAATATTACAGTTTGGTAACTAATAACTTTTATTGCCAACTCAATAAAATATCACAGTTAATTCATTAAAATTAATTACATCTGACAGATATTGGACTAACTTGTTCTTCTATCCTCAAGTAAAGCAAATACATGCGCGCGCAAACGCGCTCTGGCGCGCGGTGAATCAACCGTCTTTTTTTCCCCTTCGAACAGTCAAACTTTTGTTGTTGTTGTTGTTTTGTTGTTGTTGTTGTTGTTGTTGTTGTTGTTAACTGTGGAAATTAAATGTAGATGGTTGCTTACTCTTAAGTCAGTAAAGTCCATCTTATCAGTAAAGTTCATCAGGTTCTGCTCTGCAGCAGATCACTCCAGCAGGAAGCTCACCTGTATGGCAGGCCGCTTTTACATATAATRGGCTTCACCACAGTTACATTCCAGAATCTGAAAATGGTTTTATGACTACACAGCTTAGTTATTTAAGTGAGAGATACATAAAATTCAACTAATACAAATTAAATTGAAGACTTTTTCATGTTATGTTATTTTTGTTCTTTTAAAAAGCTTTTTCTCATTTAATAAATATTTGTAATATTTCTGCTGTTAATCATAATTCTCTGTTCATCGTTCTGGTTTAACCAAGGCCAAAGATCCTGAAGGCCAAACTACAGGAGTTGTCCATCTGAGGGGCAGGTGTAGTCTAAAAGACAAAACCATGTTTATAAAATGTTCAACCCTTAAACGTTTGCACTTAGCTTTTAGAATTTCTTTCATTTAATTTATCTTGATGTTTAAGTTAAAATTTCAGGTCATAGAATCACTAAAAATTACTTTTTAGTAGGTTATATGTCTACAATTCTGGTTCAAATATAGAACTTTATTTTTGCTAGATTAACAAATTATTTGTGGGTTAATATTACCTTATGTAATGAACAATGATTTTTAAAAAGTGAACCATTAAAACATCAATGTTAAATGTGATGCGTTTGTAAATTTAGGTGCACCTAACTTTTGTACTGGTGCACCTAAGGAAAAATGTTAGGCACACCAGTGTAACCAGTGCAAAAAGATAGTCTAGAGCCCTGAAATGTATATAATTATTTGTCCAAATACCTCAATCCAAAGGTGAATCTCTTGTAAATACATACTGCCTGCCATCTGTGTTGACAGAGTTTTAGACGCAAATCATTAATGTTAAGAAATGGAGTGGTTTTAGTCCAACTTTAAAGCTGTATTCTCGTGTAATAATGTTTGTTTATTTTTATTTTTTTCATCACTGCCCGACCTGAGACTGGTGTTGTGTTGAGATCCCAACCCTGGCCTGAAAGAAGCTGCAAACTCCTCCCTGAAGTTCCTTCTTTGTTTGTTTGTCCTTAAACATTTCTTTGTTTGTCTGTTTGTTCCTCCAGAAGTCCCACAGCAAGATGTTTGTCAGGAGGAGGAGGTTGAAACGGCCCAMGAGGAAGCAGAACCTCCTCAGATGAACCAGAACCAGACTAAACACAGCATGAACCGGGAGTTGGAGCAGCTGATGCAGGAGTTGAAGGCTCAGAACTTATTGGTGCTTCAATGCATTTCTCTACTTGATGAAATCTGTGGAGGTTCTGAAAACGGGACGATGGAGAGTGAAGAAGAGATGGATGGTGAAGGCAGACTGGAGCTTCACAACTGGAAACCTGGAGTAAAGTCAGACAGAAAGGGTAAGGAAGATGAAAATGTTCTGAATGAAGGAACATATGAATGGGACTCATGGAGGCTCCAGATCAGGGGTCGGATTTATACAACCGGCATTCGCTCAATTTGAGCCCTGAAACCTACGTTTGCCACTTTTTACGCCAAGGTTGTGATTTATAAAATCCAAACTTGACGTGAAAATGTGCGGTCCATCACGCC